AAATTGGCTTTAAATTGGGTTTTAAATCTCTTTTAGTTAAATTGGATGTTTTAATCTTTGAACCTAATCCTAAATTATTTAATATTTTTTTAATAGTTTTTAACTTTTGTATGTCTTTGTATTTATTTATGGCTGTTCACTGCCCTGAGTCCCTCGGGAGTAGGGCGGTATACAAATATGAAAAATAAATAAAAAAATAAATAAACTCCCAGAATTTCCCAGCCAGCATTGTTTGCAACAAGATGCATGCTGGTTGGGAAATTCTGGAAGATGAAGCACACCCATCTTAAAGTTAGGAGGTTGAAAAACACTGTCCTAGAATATCATTTTGCTGTTTAAAATACTGTATTGTTTTCCTAATCATAAATTTTGATTATCAAGGCTTTCTATGCTTGGTGAGATTATCACACCCTCAATATATATAATTTAAACATATTCCTTTATGCCAAGGATGTCAAACTCAGATCGTCACGGCGGTGTGATGTGACGTATTGGGACTTTTTCCCCTTTGCTAAAATGGGGATGGGCGTGGCCAGTGCATGACGCATCCGGCCCGTGGGCAGGGAGTTTGACAGCCCTGCTTTATGCCAATCTTCCCCATTGAGATGTCTTCTAGAGAAAATGACACAGCAACATGTTGATCTTGAACCGGAGCTGTTCCTGTTGGGTATCTTACTGGAGAAATTTAGTAAAGAAAATATATATTTGATTATCCATGTAATAACGGCTCAAAATTGGAAAGCAGAAAAATTCTTACAAAGGGAGAACTAATTAAGAAAATATTAGAATGTGCAGAGATGAGATTAACATTAGCAATTAGAGGGAAGGAAGAATCGGAGTATTACAACATACGGGGCAATTTTATCAATGAATAGAGATTGAATATAGACAACAGGCAATGTAAAAATAAAAATATGGGGAAAATATGTTGTAATACATTAAATTTAAATGTAAGAGGAAAGATAAATGTGCACTAAGAAAATGATGATAAATGTTTGAATATGATGACACCCAAAAAAATTTGTACCCAGATGTTACACTGATTAATGATGAATTGTTCGTTTAAAAATAAAAATATTTTTTTTTTCTAAAAAAAAAGAAGAGATGTCTTCCTTTCACAGATTGGACTACATTTCCCACTAAGGACCAGTGAGTGATGAGATTTGTATCTAACATTGAGAAAGCAAGGATAGAAAAGCTCATCTAATTCATTTACAATTGATTAATTGTGTTAGTTATCACCTTTAAAGCGCTCCATGGCTTAGGACCTGGGTACCTACGAGACCGTCTTTTGCCACCAATAGCCTCCCACCGACCAGTTCGTTCTCACAGGGAGGGACTACTCAGGGTACCGTCAGTCAAATTATGTTGACTGGCGACTCCCAGGGGGAGGGCCTTCTCTGTGGGGGCTCCAACCCTTTGGAATGAACTGCCCCCGGAGATACGGAATATCCCTGATCTCCGTGCCCTCAAGACCCTGATGTTCCAACAGGCGGGGCTAAACATACAAACATGCGAATGATTTTTTAAATGTTATCTAATTCTGGGTTTTATTTAGTTGACCAAACTAAGTAACAATTTTAATTAGCAATTTTATGATGTTTGTGTGTCTATATTTTTCTTGACTGTACACCGCCTTGAGTCCTACGGGAGAAAGGCGGTATAGAAATATAATAAATAAAATAAATAATAAATTAATTAATTAATTAAAAATGTGCTATTTTTTATTTATTCCTCCATTGAAATTGTTTCCTAATTTCAGCACATCCTGACGATCAAATCCCAAGAAAAGGGAACATTTTTTTTTTAATTGAGAGACAGGGAGGGTGTGATGGAGGTGAAATGCCTTGTCTTTTCTTACAGGCCAGCCCAGGCCCAACCGGTGGTGCCTTTGCTCAGTGTGGAAAAGTGGAGTCTAACCTAAGGGAGAGACCTGGGGTTAAGGGCGAATTTTAGGAAATGCTCTTTACTTGCTTGTATCACCAACCTTTCAGGCAGGATCCGCTGAGCGGAACTGATCTCCTGGAAGGAGAAGCGAGCGCCCGCCCAAGCACTGAGCAAGAGGACCGGGGTGATTCTGAGTGCAAATTGCCTCCAACTTAACGCTTAAAAGGAAAAAGGTTTTAAAACATGTCACGGTCAGTTCTAAGCCCCGGGCCAGGTCGGGAGTCGTGGCGCGCGTGTCTTTTCCCACGGGCTCAGGCGGATGCCCCCTTTTCCCTTGGTCCCCGTGGTCTCCACGACCCCCGCGCGGGCTGAGGGGAGCCTTCGGGTGGGTCTCCTCGCTGCGTTCCTTTCGAATCCAAGACCAGCCAGCCGAGCAGGGAGGGAAGAGGATGGGGCGCAACCGGGCGGCTTAAAGGCTCCTTCCCAACGGTCGCCCGCCCAGCAGTTAACACTCCACGCGCCTCCTTGCAAAAGGGCTTTTGGTCCTACCTGGGAACGCCCCGCCTACTTCCCTAGGCCCCGCCCACGCGGGGGGGCTCGCACACCTTGGTAGGCGGGCAAAGGGGCGGGGCTTTTGCTGGCACGCTAGCGGGCGGGGCCTGCCCGATAAGCCAATGAGACAGAGGAGGCGGGACTTGAGCGCTTCTCGCCTGCCTGCCTGCCTGCCTGCCCTGCTCTTCTGCTCGGGAGCGGCGTCCCTCCGTGGGAAGCTGGTACTCCTCAGCGGGGTTGCAGCCGTCTGGGCAGGGAATGGCTGGCGTTGTAGTTCAACACAACCGAAGGACATCGGGAAGGCTTGGACGGGGCTCCGCGCCATGGGACGCGGACAGGATCCGGGCAAGGCACAGAAGATAGTAGAGCCGCCCCAGTGTTTTCTCCTTCTATTGTACCCGTTATTTGGGTTTAGGGAACCCTTGAATTTTGCATACCGGTAATTAAGGGGGGGTGGGGGTAGCTCAGTTTGTAAGAAAATAATGACCTCTAAATTAAAAGATCAAATAAAAATAGAAGTCGGACAATCATTAGATGACAGCCAAGAGATGAAGCCTCCCTCCCCCCCCCTTTGCGGCCCAGATTTGGAAGATCCAGTTTTCTAGTAAGGTGACCTTCCAGGAAATCTTTGGGCAGCGTCTGAATGACGAGGTGAAGATGGCCTGCCGCTTTTAAGGTATGGCTGAAACAGAGAGAGACCTAGAGGCAAGCTGGAAAGGAGCCTCAAAGCACTGGGAGATAATGGAAACAGGTTGGCTCTGCTTAAATGGTCTGGATACCCTGCTCAGAGCCTTTCCATCCAATGCGGAGCTGGCCTGAATTGTTCACCTGCCTTTGTCGTCACAGCCTGCTGAGCACCAACGTGAATAATCAGATAATAAAGTACTTCATGCCACTTACCTCAAACAAAACAAGTCTGAAAACTCTGTGAAATAAACAGGCACATTAAACACTGATCTAACAACTGTAACTTTGATGCAAAGGTTGGGTTGTTTACAACCTTAAACACCTGCCATCAGTTACATAGGGTGCGTGTGCAGCCAATTGACACTAATTCAGAGAGTAGTTTGGTTTTGGCATAGTGAGGCATGAACCCATCTAGGTTTCTTTAACCCAGGTTATATTAGTTACAACTAATCAACAAAGCGTTTGTTTTGTTTTGAAAAAAACTTGACTTAGTAGGAGTATTTGCAGTGGCCCAGTTCATGAGGCATGGTGAGAACCTTTCTTTTAAATGGACAGCTTCTGAAGAGGATTAACACTACTTGATGTCTTCTCTCCTGAAAAAACAGGGTGAAGGATATTTAGGTGCATGTACCCTCAGAGAATGAAACTACAAAGTGATAACTGAGCTACCAATTTTTGGTTGAGTTCCTGTTGTCTTCCATTGAAGGAACAAGAAGAGTGACATGCTGCCAGAGAATGGAAGTATCTACTTCCAACTACAAGCTTGGTTCCCCAAGATAGTTACAGTTCCCTGACTTTAGCTAATTAAGATTCTGACCTGTACCCTAAATTCCTGTTCTGCGATTGGCTCTTGTGAAGAAATGTAAAGTTTCAAGAAAGCAGATGTTTCCAAGACTCAATGCAGCTCAGACAGCTGGATACAATAGTTGTGTTTACATGACAGATCATACCACAAAACAGGTAACCACATTTTAGCTTAGTTTCTCGTGCAACTGACCCCATGGGGTCAATGCCAGATTTAGACTTGATGAGATCCTAAGCTATAAAAAGCTTGAAGGCCTCTTGTTAAAAAACTGCACTGGAAGGTCTCACAAATGTGTGTACCAAAACAATTTTTGGTCACCACAAAAAAATGAAAATGTGTTTTAATTACATAGTCATTTTAAAACTACACAAACATTTATTATGCAAGTACACATAAAAGCCACAAAAAATTCTTTTTTAAAAATCTCTGAAATTTTGGGAGGCCTAAGTTGTGGCTTGTTTAATGTATGCCTAAATCTCACAATGCATGTGATTAATTCATAGCTCACTTCATATATTTGTGCATCAAATCAGTCCAATAACTAAGGAATGCCCAGATCTTGAAGTGAAAGTTCAGCCATTTAAAGCAGGATGTGTTGGGGTTAACACTCAAGCTGATAAATTCCTCTGGGTAGCACAGCATTTATGTGACTGTTGTCATTATGGAATGACATACCGAATCTTGATAAAGAGAGATTCTGACAGCATCCAATATATGCATATTACTCCTCAAGTAAAGAGATTCAGGCAGCAGGTGCGGGCACACAAACTTCCTTCCTCCCCACAGTCCTCTGAAGGACAGGTGATAGCTATCCAAAAATGTATTACATGATTTCCTAACAAAAAAGCTTTGCAGAGTCAGAAGCTTGGGAATTAAGTAAATTGACTGGAGTGGATCATTTTCTCTGAAATACATGTTCACCATTGGGTCTAACACAGAAAAAAATAAAAAATAGCAGTCATATATTTTCCAGGAGGAGGCAGCAAACCTTTTAAGTTCTTTCAGTCTCTGGACTTCTGCCCTAACCCGACAGCTGATCCTTGTAACAAATTCACTAAGAAGCAAGGAGGAGACTTTACAGTAAGAACTTTATTGCACTATGTTTCGAGTGCTAAACCAGAAATTGTGCCTATTAAGCTCGGCTCACATTGAAGCTCCAGCATTTCTATTCTATGACAGAATGTGTAGCCCTGTATACCGAACTGCTCCCCCCACCCTCCCCCAATCAGTTCAGTTAGGTTTGAAATACAAGCTAATATACTGTAATACAATACAGTGAAACTGAAAGGGGAGAACAAAACTATACATAGGGAAAAGAAAAGAAATCCAATTGTTTCATAGGTTTAGGGTAGAACTTTAGGAATTTTAAAAAATCTGACTTCAACACATTATGTTGCAGCATTTTTCGGTCAAAATAACATTTTTTGAGGAAATGAGATCCGATTACAAGGATGTGCGCTTTTATGCAGATGTGTGACAGCCAGAGCAGGAAATAAGGAAAGACAGCTCTATTTCTTCTTCTTCTTCGAATTATGCTTCCAGATAAACATGATCTTTCTTAAATGTAAGACATGCCACTCTGAACACTTGTATGTTTTACAACAATGTGAAAAAACAAAATATCAAGGAATCTGGCATTTGGGGCTTAATAGATTTACAAACTAAAATCAGTCAAGACTGCAATCTTACAAACATTCAGGGGTGTCAGTTTCCCTACATTTAAAGAAGTTCTCAATCAATATGCATAGGATTGCACTCCAGGTCACCCACATCGAGATTTGAGTGGCGTTATCATCACAATCAGCTTTCACACAAGTTTGTCAGGAAGCTTTAATGATTTTTAGACTCAAAATATTTAAAAGGACTACTGTATATCAAGTGATTCGGCACAATATACCATGAGATACCCTGTTGGAGAGCTGGAAGGCCTTGTCTGTGTTCACTGATAGAGCAGCTGGAGGAACCCACTGGAGCCTGATGCTGCACAAAGACTGAAGAATATAAATTAAAAATCTTCAGCAAACACATTTTTAAAAGCAAAACTGAGTTGGAAGACAAACAACTCAGTTTAATTGAAGCAATTTGGCAGAGAAGTAACTTAAAATGAACAAACGTACAAGCAAAACTTCCTGCCTTTCCTAATCAAAATCAGTAATCAAAACTGAGCCCAGTTTCCCGATATTTTACACAGACAACATAAACAAAAGAGGCATTGACAGTATGTGATCAGCAAGTCTCCCTTAAGAACCTGGTGAAAAGTTAAAAAGGCAATCAGTGGTTAAGGTGAACTCTATGAGAGGCTAAGCTGGAAAAATGCCCTCAGGCATTGGGAGCTCAAGATGCCAATGGATGGAAAAGCAGCATGAGAAGACGAGACTTGACTCAACTGTTAAGATCTCTCCAGGGAGGAAACATACCACCTTTTCATCCATCCTGGATGATACCACAGTTGGCGTTTTAAATGTTTTCACCAAAAACATTCACAGTCTCTCTCTTTGCTGGAAGATATATTTTTTTCTGTTTAAACTGCAGGAAGTTAACTTCTAACTCAAAACATTTAGATAACATGTAACTGTAGACAAATGTCGAGCAATATATCTCAGCACTGAAGACAACATCGGAAATACCCACCATCGTGTAATTTGGACATCTGCATAATAAGAGCATGAAACGTCACTGTTAAATGTATCACAACCACCAGCATTATGAAATGAGCCCACACCCCAGCCTTCTTCCTGGTGCCTCTTCAGGTGTAAACTGAAAGATGCTTGTAGATACCACCTAGTTAAGGGCTTTAACCCAGAATATCAGATTTACTGACGCTGCCTCTCCCTCCCTGGTACAAACAATCAGTTGCCAGCAAACGTACATACATACATATATCACACTATTTCTAAAAGCACCCCACAGGGTTTAAGGCTGCTGCTCACTCACATGGACCATACAAAACTCCAATTCTATCTTCCAGGTTTCAACAAAATGAAAGAGAATCCACTTCTAAAACTAAAAAATAATAAATTCAGGCTAGGACCTCATTAGGGCTCCCCATCCTACTCCACCATTACAAATTTCTGCACATACTCCGGTGTTCCTCAAAACGTAAAATCAATTTGGTTTTTCTTCCACAAAGGAGGTTAAAAATACAGAAAAGTAAGGAAACTCCCATCACTTGGCAGATGATCAGACTGTAACATGAGAAGACAATCCTGCACTGAAATGTTTCGTTTTAATTTTATTTTTTATCACAATCATTATCATTAGGAGAAAGGCGGAGGAGCCCTGACTCCACGACGGCCAGGATGTCGCTCAATGCAAGAATTACAATTCCAGATTCCACAAGTCCAGAAAGACAGCCATGATAGCGTCAAAGACATCACAAAGGGACTTGGCTTACTGCACGATGCAGTGCCCGTTGGCATCTCTAAAGCGTAACCTCATCTTCGGTCGGTATTTCTCAAGATAGAGCAGCTGTTTAGAATTGAAGGCTCCTCTCCTCTTCCTGAAATACAAGAGCATTTCGGGCATTATTATATAACTGCTGAATCCATGACTAAAACAGAACAGCCCCAAGGGTGGACAATTGAAAACTGCTTTCTATCCAGCCCTTCCACTTTACCCCAATGACAGCAAGACACGAGACAAAGAAAGTTATTGGCATATGCGCACACAAGGGCAAGTGGATCCACAGATTGCATTAAGCCTGCAATTTAATTGATTGCTACCTTTATTAATTCGACAACAGGGAAGACCCAGCAATGGGCCTGCATTGCTTGCCAGTTTGCTTCCAGGCTCAAAGTGTCACCTTTAAAGCCCTTCATGGCATTGGAGAAGATTATCTGGGGAACCCCCTCTATCTATCTATCTATCTATCTATCTATCTATCTATCTATTCTATCTATCTATCTATCTATCTATCTATCTATCTATCTATTCTATGCCGCCCACTCTCTGAGGACTCTGGGTGGTTTACACCAAAGACAGTATACTAAATAACATATTGGCCCCAACAATCTGGGTCCTCATTTTACCCACCTCGGAAGGATGGAAGGCTGAGTCAACCTTGAGCCGGTAAGATTTGATCCGCTGATCTGCTGAACTAGCAGTCAGATGAAGTAGCTGCAGTACTGCACCCTAACCACTGGCCACCTCGGCTCAGACCTTAATGGCTTTGGTCTGCACTCCACTCACTTCAGCTCCAAGAGGCCTTCTGGAGATCCTGTCAGTTGATCTCCAGGGCCAAGGAGAACCACATCTTGTCCCCAAAGGTGAGATCCAATTCCACCCTTCTGGCCTTCCAGAGGAGTCTTAAAGCTTGGCTGTGCCAGTTGGCTTGGGGCCCTGCTGGGGATGCACACTGCTGGAGGTGGTTGATGGGAGTTAGAGAGTAAATGTCTATCCCTGTACTCTCCACACTCTTAGTTTTAACCATTTATCTATTTAACTGTTGTTAAACGTATTTGTAATTTACATATATTTATATAAATATAAATATATTTACATTATTGCAAGCAACCCAGTCACTTAAAGCAGGTGGCATATAAATTTAATAAATAAATTTCTTCTCTTTGCAAGGAGAGAGAGAAGTGTCCATAAGCCAAATCTAAATCAGAAGTGTTAGGATAAAATGGGATGTTTTGGGGGAACCTCATTTGCCAAACTTCTTACAGGAAAGATGCAATTAAAAAAATATTTTACAAGCAAGCTGGATTGGTGAGATAAATCCATAAGTTAAAAACATTTAGCATATTAAGAGAAATGCAGGCTACCTTTGCTAGCAGCAGCCTCTTTCTTCAGTTAAATGCTGTAGGGATTATCTTGTAAAGGGCACTTGCTGCACAGAAAACTTAAGTTTCTCTGGAAAGAGTGCCATTATCACCTGGACCAAAAATCTTAAACAGGGAAACTCTCCCATCCAGACTAGTTGTATTAGACAAGTATTCCAAATGAGTTGGTCAAAATCCCAAGGAAGCAAGGCAACATCAGCATTAAGGTGCTCTTTTCCATAGCTTGTATGTCCTTTAGGGCAGGAGTCTCCAACCTTTTGGACCTCAGGGACCACCAAATTCATAATTTTAAATTCTATGGACCACTGGGAGGTGGGGGGGGCTCAGCCACCTTTAGGACCTACCTGTCTGCGTCTGCAAGGCCTCAGGGTGGGAGGCCCGAGAAAAAGTGCCTGGTCCAGGCACACAGCCTGGAAACCTCTTGTGTTCCTTCTCTCAAGAAGCTTGGTCAAGCTGAGTGAAGGAAAACGAAGACGGGCAGACTGACGGTGGCTTGCTGATGTTGGTGGGAAAGTCAGTTCCATATTCCAGAGCTGTAGTAGTCACAGGATTACCAGAGTTGCTGGGAGCAGCTCCAGTGCACCCGGGTGGAGGAGCTGCTCCAGGATGACCAAAGGGGCAGTCCTGTGACTAGCAGGACTAGCAGCTCTGGAATATGGGACCAACCCGTGGTGGGGCTGGAAATCTCCACCATAGGGGGTGGACCGTGCAATGTGCAACTTTGCAGGTGGTGCAACGTGCAAAAGGGAGTGCAGCCCTTGCCAGCCAGAACAAGGTAATGGTGCTGTTGTGGCAGGAGGGGGGGGGACGGGGCGGCCCAAGCAGGGCGAAGCGGTGGTGGCGATGGCTGGAAGGTGCGAGAGCAAAGCACTACTTGCATTTCTGCAGCATCAGCATTTCGCCTTCGCTGCGGTATATTTGCGCCAGCTGATTTGAAATCTCACATTTGAGATTTCTAGCTGCAATGGACAGCAAAGCTAGGGCTGACCCCGGGTGCTTCTCTCCGCTAACAGGTGGCCAAGCTAACTGCCTAAAGGACCCCATCCTGTCCCTGGAAGTCAAAGCGCTGAAGCACGAGTGGTGCAGGAACTTTTTTGGCAGGGCTCCTCGAGAGAAATGCAAACATTTCTCTGCAGACCACCAAAATTTCTCATTCTCTAGTACCAGCAGAAATCCCAAACACAGATCCTTTTTTTCTAATCATCAGCTGGGAGGAAGTCTGAACTAAGATTTTTTCACAGCTGCCTCTGCACAAAATCAGAATTATTTCAACCACTGTGACAGAAACTTCCTCAAGAGAAAAACTGAAATAGAAAGCAAGCAGGAGGAGACGGAATACCCCAGAAGATCAACCCCACTCACTGTCTTATAAACTGCACAGCATCCTCATACTTCATTCCACATTCAATGAGTGCAAGGGCAACGAGAACTGGAGCTCTGGAAGGGCATGAAATATTAAGAAAGATTTTAAAATGGTCCAATAAACATTCAGAAATAATTCCAATTAGCATAGCCATTGACCCAAGACAGTTTGTGCCTTGCAGCAACAGAACACCTGTTCTGATCTCGATTCAAGTCCAAGTCAATGGTTTTCCGGGTGCCAAACAGAAGTGATATAACTATGGTTTGTACATTTTGCTGGAACAGCTCATTACAAATAAATGAGACATGGGGAAGAATATAAAGATACCTTTGCTTTGTAATTAGGAATAATTTTTAAAGAGCCGATTTAACACTGCAATCCATATGGCAATCCTCACAAAGGAACTCATGCTAACTGTTGTAGACACTCTGGGCTTAGTTTATCCATCCTTTGTATTACTAAGCACTCAGAAAGGTATTATTGGTTAAGATATTGGTATCTTAAGATTGCGATATCACAGGCCATCAGCATAAAAAGGAAGTCTAACACCAAATCAGCAATCCTCCACCAACAGCCCAATGCTCAACACACCAATGCAGACTAATGCGTATATTAACACTGCAAAATGTTTCACATTTGAAACATCCCAAGCTCAAAATAGATATTTCAAGTTTGAAACAGGTTGGTCTGACTCTAGTGAAAATTCTAGAGTGTTTCAAGCTCTGGATGTCCACAGGAACCACAGATCAGCCTTGTTTCATGTTTGAAACACTGTTACACCTCTAGAACACCTACTGAGAGCAGACAGGTTATCTAGAGGTGTAGCTAAACTAAGCTAAATTATTTTCAAGCTAAACCCTGAGAAATATCTATGTCCCTCTGAGGAGTATCAGGGGCCTGCACTTTAGCACTGGCAGATTGATTCTCATGTTTTATAATGTCCTAAAGATGAATGTTTTGAAAGAATAAATTGGAAACTGAAAGACTTTACATGGTTAAAGATTATCTTAATGAAGGAAAAACAATGTATGTATGCCTCACCAGGACCCAGAACACTTCTAAGGGAAAATCTCTTTGCAAGAGGCACATTGCTGTACAAATAGCCTACTTTATCATTCGTTTTATGAGCAACTGCTCAGAGGTAGGACAAAAATTTATGGAGCTGACTAGTCACCTTTCTGCAGACAAATAAATGCCAATTGACAGGCAGCTGCCTTCACTCAAGAGACTGGGCCACACTCATCCAGTAGTATCTGACACAAGGAATAAGCAAGTTTTGACAGTATATCTGACATAAGTGGGCAAAAATATTTCCTGTCAAAAGCACAATAAGCCTGAAACAGCTGTTACAAAGTAAGACCCCCTTTCATAGAAAACCACACAAATAAATCTAAACTTTGCTAAGCTAAGCACAGCTTCACCCAATTTGCCACTTTGCTCTATCCCACCCACCTTCTGCCCCGCCCTCCCTACCGCCCCCCAAACAGCATTACAGTTAATTTTCCTGCTCTAACTCAAGACAATGTTTACCTTCCCAATCCTGCCACGCAGTGCACAGCGACACAGCAGCCTGGCTCCTCACGGAATTTGGTTTTCAACAGGTTGAGCCAGTCGTCCACAATTTCACCAGGGGGTGGGGCTCCATCATCAAACGGCCAGTCCTTGGGAAGAGAAGAGGAGGAATATCCAGTTTGATCTGAATGGTTAAGATACCTGTCTAGAAACTGGGAGCTCAGAAGGTCTAGTCCTTCTGAAGGTTAGACCTGAAAGCTGTCTGGGTGACTTTGGCCCAATCACCAGAAAACAATGAGTTCTAGTCCCAGCTTAGTCATGAAAGCCATCTGAATGGACCAATCATCACAAGACATGTCTATAGAGATTCTCAATCATCCAGATCATGGTTGTCTCAAAGGTGCTTTTTCAGAAGCCAACTGGACTTTCAGCAGTTCAGCAGAGCTAGCCCACCAAGTGGCCTTAACTGCTCTGAGAGAGAATGCAAATGACCAGATGACTGAAAAGAAATATATATATTTCCATTCCCCCATCACCACTATCCACTCAGAACTGAAGAAGTTTCTTGGATGAGAAATGGAAAAAACAAAGGGTTTTTTTTTTTTTTTTTTGAAAAAGCACCTTTGAAACACCAGAAGACAGTCCGGCTTAAGGCATGAAATCCTGCTGGGTGACTTTGAGCCAGTCCTTCTCTCTCAGCACAATTCACTTTAGAGTGTTGTTGTTGTGGGAAAAATAAGAGGAGGAAGGAGTATTGTATGTTTTCACTGTCTTGAGTTATTTATAAAAATAATAATGGCTGGATATAAATAAACAAATGTGAGGTCCATCTAGGCTGAAGAGAAGGGGGATGCCACCAACTTTCTTCCAAGCAGGCAGAACTGAGTCAACACCCCCAAATCTTCAAGGCTTCCATCAAATTCCACTTGGAAATTGATGGGAACAACTTAAAACAGGAGGCACAAGGCACACACGCTGTGAAGAAGGAACAATCAGCCTCCTAATTCATAACTGTATAACATGAGGCCCCAGGAAATTTGGATGCGGTCCCAGTGAAAGCAAATACTGCTACTAAATTTGTTTTTATATCCCAGAAACAAAAAAGTATTAAATGAGTGGAGTTTAATCACACATGCACACACAGAGTTTATATGTTTAGCTAAATTTAATATTTATTAAATGTAAATGAAAGAAAAATTGGAGAAAGATTAAGGCAGTTATTCCCACATCCTTCATATTCAGAACAACTCCACTTTGAAGTAGGAGTCTTAGGACATGTTTCTGAGAATCTATGTAATAGTCAAATGTAAATTGAGACTAGGAGCAAAACAACTCACTTTCAAAACTGAAATATTCAAGTGCCTGATCCCCACCCCCACCCCCCGGAAAGAGGCAGTAGATTCGGCATGAAAGTTGACATCCCAAAATGTCCACTGGAAAAACAATTCAAAACCTGAATGCTGGCCCACATTTATAGTTTATTAAAGTGTATATGTCTGTCTGTCTGTGTATGTAGTGTCTGTCTGTCTACCGTGTTTCCCCAAAAATAAGACCGGATCTCATATTAATTTTTACTCCAAATGATACATTAGGGCTTATTTTCCGATTAGGTCTTATTTGTGGGGGGGGAGAGATATGGTATTAAATGCACTCATTTGGCTGATGATCTTAATGGGTTTCTTTTTGGGGTAGGGCTTATGAGTATCCTGAAAAATCATGCTAGGATTTATATTCCAGTTGGGTCCTATCTTTTTCGCTCGGCAGTCAGATTTGTCCCAGTCTTACAACCTAAGATATGACACAAGAGAGGAAATGGATGCAAAAGTAAATTGGGATGTGCTTAGGCTGAATTACACCAAGAGTAGGATTCCAAGAAACCATTAGTTTTGGGTGGGAACAAGATATCCTCAAGAGTTCCAACATACAATGAAGCAATGGAGAAAGGATGAAGTCCCCAAGAGAGATTACTTTCAACTGACGGAGTTGAAGAAATTAAAGTTGCAGACAGGAAAGTATCAAGATAGGGAAAAAGGAAGGATAATGAAGATCTTTGAAGAGAAGGGCAAGGTCGTGTAATATAATCTGGAATGAACATAAAGCCAATTTAAGAGATTTAAAGGAAAGACAATTAAAATTAAATGACTTTGGGTAGTGGAATATTGGAAATGGAAAAGAATGTGCAGAACCAGAAAGCTAAAGGAAAGGCTTGGCTAGAGATAAAGGGTACATTCACCAGAGTTTTTGTCACTGGAAAAGAGAGACTATTTTTGTTCCAGTTCTGCAAATGAAGAAACAGTACAAATAGGAGAGAGAGACTAATCCTCCTAGACAGCAGAAGTCTTTGAAACCAATTTAGTCAATGGAGAAGATAATGTGTTGAAGCCTCCAGCCTAATTTAGTAGGAACTGCATATCTGAATTAATTACTGCTTGACCAACAAGAACAATGAAATACAGTATCTTTAAAATAGCCTTATGTTTAATCAAGTCAATTAATTTAAATTAGTTCAAATTTATTTCATTTCCAACAAGGAATGGAACACTCTAGCTCAGAAGCCTATTCAGCCAAAGAAAAAAGAAAAACAGTATGATTTAAAACTAAGGTTCAAATGTAACCAATCCAAAACATAACCGAAGAGTGCTCTCATCCAAACCAGGGGATCACCATGCTGTCAAAGAAACCAAGGGTCTGCTTGTAACTTCAATCGAGAAAGGAGCTAGTGTAATGAAGTAGTAACAGATTAAAAGCAGGAATTCTATTCGGCCATTAGCCATCCTTGATCAGTCACTTTCTCTTAGCTTCACCTGAGATGTTGCACAGGAATAGCCCACGGATGTCTTGAACTGCTTAAGTCAGGGGGGTCTGCAACCTTAAACACTCAAAGAGCCATTTGGACCCATTTCCCACAGAAAACACCGGGAGCCACAAAACCAGGGTGGGCGTGGCCAACTCAATGTCACTCACTTCCACCAGTCACATGACCCCCTAGCCATGCCTACCCAGCCAGTCATTAGGGCAGAGAACCAGTTGTTAAAAAATACCGGGAACCACAAAATCCTTTTGACATCTCTCTCTCTCCGCCCCTCCCCCCTCCCCCTCTCTCTCTGTATCTCTCTGTCTCTGCCCTGGCCATTTCTCCCATCCCCCGCCGTTGCCCTTACCTTCTCAGGCCAGGCAAGGAGTGACTGGGGGGGGGGGGGGGGGGGGGGGGGTGCAGGCCAGCCAGTGGTGGGATCACCTGACAGGGAGCCACAGCAGTGGGCCCAAAGAGCCGCATGCGGCTCTGGAGCCGCAGGTTGCTGACCCCTGGCTTAAGTTAACTGCTTAACTGCAAAGAGTCATGCATTTTAAAGACAATGCCACAAAATTTGGCCAGGTACTGCCTCCATCCCTCACACTGTTAAATTTGTTATTTTCTGATCCACATACAAAACACAAACTACAAACTTCTCGTGCAAATGTGACACACTATTCTAAGAGCATAAGAAGAAGGTCAGGAAGGGGAGGATGGGTCAGAATTGTCAACATCCATAAATTAATGGCAGCATTCAGGCTTACTCTAGTACGGGTGTCGGCAACCTGCGGCCCCAGAGCCGCATGTGGCTCTTTTGTCCCCCTGCCGGCTGGCTGGCTGGCTTTGCCCCTCCCCTCCCAGTCACTCCTCACGTAGCCTGGGAAGTTAAGGGCGATGGCGGGGATGGAGACTTGCTCCGAACGAGAGGGAAATGCCCCTGTACTTGTCTCTCATCTCGTGGGCGCTTCTTCCTGCTGCGCGCACCTTGGTTGTTTGGGGAGACACGCAACTTGCTCTCCACCCCGAGATGTTGGCCCAGGTCAGCTACGGCCAATGCTCTGCATCGTAATGGGCTTCAGGAGGAGCGGATGCGTTTTACAACGTGGAGCATTGGCCGCAGTCAGCCCAGGCCAGTTTCTTGGGGCAGAGAGTAAGTCGTGCGTCTCCCCAAGCGACCAAGGTGCGAGCAACACTAAGAAGCGCCAGAAGAAGCCTCCACAAGATGAGAGGCAAGTACAGAGGCACTTCCCTCTCGTTCAGAGTGAGTGTCCATCCCCGCCATCACCCTTACCTTCTCAGGCAATGCGAGGAGTGACTGGGAGGGGAGAGCAAGGCCAGCCAGCCAACAGGGAGTTAGGGGGACGAAAGAGCTTTGTTTATCTGGGAACCTGAAATGACTCTTGATTTAAATCTTATGATAAAAAGCACCCAAAGAAGAAAGAACATCAGCCCCCCCCCCCCCAAAAAAGCCCAACCCTCGCCTGTTTTTGCAAATGGTTCACACACGGGGGGGGGGGAGATGAGAGAGAGAATAGGGGAGAAAAAGAGAAATGAGAAAATGATGGAGGGAGAGAATGAGAGGGAAAAGAGAGAAACAAATGAGAGAGAGAAGGGAGAGAGAAATGAGAGAGAGCTTGAGGGAGAGAAAGAGAGAGGGGAAAGAGGGGGGAGAGAGAAAGAAAGAGAGAGGGAGAGGAAAACCAGAAATAAAAAGGAGAGGAAAAAGAGAAAAACAGAAATGAAAGGGAGAAAAGGGGAGAAATGAGAAAATGAGAGAGGGAGAGAATGAGAGAGGAAAAAAACAAATGAAAGAGAGAGAAGGGAGAAAGAGAGAAGGAGAGAGAAATGAGCTGGAGGGAGAGAATGAGAGGGAAACAGAGAGAAGGGGAGAAAGGAAAGAAAGAAGGAAGGAAGGAAGGAAGGAAGGAAGGAAGGAAGGGGAGGGAGGGAGAGAAAAAGAAAAACAGAAATGAAAGGAAGAGACAGAAAAAAGAGAGAGAGAAAAGGGAAGGAAAAAAAAGAGAAAATGATGGAGAGTATGAGAGAGAGGAAAAAAAGAGAAACATGAGGGAGAGAAGGGAGAGAGAGAAATGAGAGAGCTTGAGGGAGAGAATGAGAGAGGGAAAAGAGGGAAACAAATGAGGGAAGGGGAGAGAAAGAAAAGGAAAAGAAAGAAAAAGGGAGAGGGAGAGGAAAAAGAGAAAAACAGAAGAGAGGGAGGGAGGGAGGGAGGGAGGGAGGGAGGGAGGGAGAGAGAGAGAGAGAGAGAGAGAGAGAATTTCCCATAGAAAACACCCGGAGCCACAAAACCCAGGTAGGCGTGGCTGGGGCAGGTCATGTAACTAGGTGGGAGTG